TTTGCAGCTTTGAATAGAAATATATTTGGATGCATGAGAACCAGTTTTCCATGTCTGCCCCTTAACTCTGTGATTTTGGGCAAGTCCCCTTCTGTCCTGGAGTTCAACATTCTCATTTGTACACTATGATGGCAATGACTCTGCAGAGTAAATACAAATGAGAGTCAGCTCCCCTGTGACTCTCCCCTGTGCCAGAGACTGTCCTGTGTGCTGCAGGAATTTTATCTGATTAAAAACAATTCATTTGAGTAGATGTAATTTCCCCCTTCTATAGAGATTCTGAGAAGAACAACTTGCCCAAAATAAAACGGAGAGAAAGGTCTGAGCCAGGATTTCAAACCATCTTACCTGTGTCCATAGTTTATGCTCTTTTCACTATCCTCTTGTCCTGCCTCTATGGAAGGATAAGATGATCTGAGATTATCTATCTGTCTGTCTGTCTGTCTGTCTGTCTGTCTGTCTGTCTGTCTATCTACCTATCTACCTACCTACCTACCTACCTACCTACCTACCTACCAGCTATCTACCTATTCTATTTTATCTATCTACCTACTTACCTATCTATGCCAGCACAGGGCCTGACACATGGCAGATATGCAATAATTGATCACTAGAAATGGTTTAAGTCTCATCTTGCTTGGAAGTAGGTTATGAACAAGGCGGTCCTGTTGAATCCCTTATAGTCCTGGGATCCCAATATGTGGAAGCAAGAGGAGGTGAAGGTCACGGCAAGCTTGTTTCCTCTCAGCCCATTATCCTGCTCCTGTAATGTCATTTGCAAATTCCTGTAAGCACAAAGTAGCCACTTTCCAGCAGGGCAGATGCACCAAGGAGAAGGCTTATGTGCCTTTCCTCATGGCTAAACTTGACAATCATGGAGTTTCTCTTAGTCTCACAGAGGAGGAGAAGCGCATTCACTGCTCACTTGCTCACTCATTTCCGTAGTTATGGAATAGTTAATAATCACCACCATTTACCGAAAGCCGGCTCTGTGTTAAGGGCTGTGCTGAAGACATCTTCACAGCAGTCCTTCCGTAGGCTGTAGCTACAGCGACAGAGACAGAGCTAGAGAGAGCTTCCTGGCTGGTAATTAGGAAACTAGACACAGAGAACCTTAATAACTGACTTGCTTAAAGTCACCTAGCTTGTTAGTGGTGAAGCTTAGATTTGGACCTGGTTCTGCTGCTTCAAAGCCATTTCACTTCACTATGAATATAGCGTTAGATAGCACAGTCATTTGTTGTCCAAAAGACGTTGGGGAGTGGCGACATCAAAGACGGTCCTTTTCATGCTGCCCAGAAAGAAATGCCTTTCCCTTAAAGAAAAGGAAACTCACTAGACTCTCTGACCAAGTTTAGGTTGTAAAATTGAGGTGTTGACAAAAAGCCCATGGATCAATTAGAAGACCTCTCACAGTCTCACTCTCTCTCTCGCTCTCTCTTTTTATTTTTTGTGAGACAGAGTCTTGCTCTGTCTCCTAGACTGGCGTGCGGTGGTGTGATCTTGGCTCACTGCAACCTCTGCCTCCAGGGTTCAAGTGATTCTCCTGCCCCTGCCTCAGCCTCCTGAGTAGCTGGAATTACAGGCATGCACCATCATGCCTGGCTAATTTTTTTTTTTTTTTTTTAGTAGAGGTGGGATTTTGTCATATTGGTCAGGCTGGTCTCGAAGTCCTGGCCTCAAGTAATCCACCCACCTTGGCCTCCCAAAGTACTGGGAATACATGTGTGAGACACTGCATCTGGCCTCTCAGAGTCTCTTTTAACCCCTGTATTTTGCTTGTCATTTCCTTATAAGAGTATGGTGGTGGACAGAGTTTTGTTCTAGAGTCAAAACTTGGGGTTTGATTTTCAGCCATGCTGTCACAGGCTGTGTGGCTCTGGCTGGGTAGGACATGTCATCGCTCTGAGCCTTGGTCTCTTCCTTGTCATAGGGATTACATGAGGTAATTGATGAGAAGAACTTGGGCCTCACTGAATGGTCAATAATTGGTAGAAATCAGGTCACAAAATCTATGCGTGGGATTTTGGCATCAGCTGTCACAGACAGAGTTGTTATTTGGGCTTTTTCCTACATCCAATTTCTTCCTCAAAAGAAAACCACAAGCAAAAAACAAGAAGCGCAGAGGCAAAATAGGCTTCAACTCTCCCTACAGAAATGTTTCTGAGGGTTATTAGCTCAGCCATTTTCCATTAGCAAAAATAAATCGCTCAGAAACATCTGGGTCACATTCGTCAGGAATTTGCTCTGTGCCGGCATTTCATTTTCAAACCCAGAGGACGTTTTGGACCTATTGCCATGCCCTTGAGAAAACAGAAGGGTTCCAGAGCCCACCAGGGCTCCCACTTCCCTATCTCTCTTTTTCATTTCTGAAAAACTCAGGCAGTGGCAGCCAAACAATGTTTGGGTGGGCTGGTAAAGAAAATCCTTTTCTGGCTGCAGACAACTCCCTTTCTGCCAGCTCTCAGGCCTGTGCACCTGGCCCCGAGCCCTGAGGGTGAGGATTTGGGGTGGTGGTGGGAGCTAGAGACTGATGGTGCCATGTGGACAGGCAGTGAGGCGTCTCCAGGTCAGAAGGCATGGGGTTGCTATGGCAGGACCCCTCTGCCGTGGGAAATTTCCTGCTGTTTAGAGCTAGCCCTTCTGCCCGCAGCTCTTGGTTCCCAAGTAGTTCTCATAGTTCAGCACAAAATTTGTCAGCTGAGGCAGAGATTCAGCCAACCTGAGCAGGTCCCTGAGGGGCTGATGTACTCTGGAGATGGTTGTCTGTGCCTGGATGTCTCCAGTCGGTGCCATGGGAGACAGGTGAGCTCAGAAGGATGTAATTGTTTACTGGCCTTCAGCCACGCAAAGTCAACTAATAACTACATGTTCATGGTATTTGCCCTAAGAGGGTGAAGCCTGGGCAGTGAAGCAGGGGGTGAGGAGAGGATGCAGAGGGGACGTGATTCAAGGGGAGCAGTGCTGGGGGCAGAGGCAAAAGTGGGAAGCTTAGGGATCAATTAGGCAAAAAGATTCTGTATTGATTTTTCTATGAAATGACTATTTTTCCATTTATACTGAAAAACAACACTGGGCCTGTCAAAGGCCATCATTCTAAATGTGTACAGTCAGAACACCAACTAACAGCTGAGTGGAATTAATTACCTCTCCCCAAGACAGCTTCAACCGTTTGTTAACTGTTTTATGCCTCGAGCCCTTCACTTCTCAGCATCATCCTCCTGTCTCTTCTGCCAATTTCACACCTGCTGCCGGGTAAATCTTCATAAAGCAAGCTTCCTGCCCTGCCGCTCCTGTGCAATGTTTCCTTATAGCCTGGGGAATCAAATCTGGGGGAAAACAAATTCTGTGGCTCATAGTTTCCAGCTTCCCGCCCACAGCTGCCTGGTGGAAGACAGAAGAATTGTTAGAATTCTACTTTAATAGTTGAGTAAATGGAGGCACAGTGAGGTTGAGTGCTTACCACCTCAGGCCCCTTTGCCCCACCCAGCTAGCTGCCTCTCATGATCCCCAGATCTCCGCTCACCTAATGTCCTCCCCAAGTTCTTCAGGTAGGGGCTGACTTTACCAACTTTGAGGGCTGACAATGCCACCTGCACCAGCTCTTCTCCCACTTTCCAGTCCCTTCCTTTCCCTAAGGCCGCTCTGAAGAACCATCCCCAGCCTTACCTAACCTGCAGTCCTCTGCTATTACTTACTACCACCACTCTATCTCCTCTAGTTCCCACTGGCTCCCCAACCTCCAACTCACTGGGCTTCCCATGGTCTAAGTTTGTGACATGTTAATTTAGCCACCTTATTTATATTGAGGAAACACAGTACCAGCATTTACCCATTGTCCAAACCTGAAATTTAGCTAAAATCTGCATCCCAGGCAAAAGAGAGGATGGCTCAGTTGAAGAATAGGGGTGGATGGTGTACAGGGGAGATGGGACCTTGCATTGCCCTTCAAGTAACAAGGGGATGGGTTCCCAACCCTTGATATTCATTCTTGCTTGAAGGAATTGACAGGCTACCACGGAAAAAGCACTGAACTTGAGAGCTGAGCAGCTTGGTTCTGCCAACTTTCTATAACTTTGGGCAAACTACTCTCCTCTCTTTGCCTCAGATTCACTGCAGCTTAAAAAAGATTGACCAAGATGCCCTCTAAAGTTCTGAGTGTGACTCTCTAGAAGACCCAGACTCATTGGATTAACACCATCTGTAAGTGAAGTTCCCACCTGAGGGATGGTCTTGGTTGGTTCCCTAGCCTACCTATTATAGAATCGTCTCCAGGGTTGGTAGCTGCCCTTAGTTTCCCAGGAAAGATCTCAGCTACCTGCCCTCCATCCTGGCATGATGCTCTGGGATTAATCTTCTTCCAGAGACAGAGATAAAAATAAATCATGCGCTGCTCCCCAATCAGTCTGCACATCTTGTTCCTCATAAGCAGCAAGACCAAATGAATACAGGGCTGTTGGGGCTCCTGGGTCCTGATACGGAGGCAGGGGGCCCAGGCAGGCATATGGCTAGCAGGCCGGCTGTACTCAGAGTGTTATTTTCAAAACTGAAGTGGAATCTGCTTCAGGCCCGAGCATGGTAGGTGGTCTCCGTTCTTGGATCATAAATCACTGAAGGTAACTATTTTTCCTGGCCTCACTTGTGACCCAGTATAATGTTGTTATGATTGGAAGGATGGTGGAAAAGGGATTTTTTTTCTGCTGTTCTAATCTCCAGGGTATATAAATCTTTGTACTTTCACAGTCCCAGGGACCATGTGTGATGTTGTAGAGAGCATACAGGAATGACTCCCTCAGGTGCTGGTGAGGTTCTCTGCCGCTAACTCACTTGTATTTTCTAAGCCACAATTTTTCTCATCTGTAACAGGAGTTGTAGCTAGTGGTTCTCATTCTAGGCCTCAATGATTTTCTGATAAAAGGTGTTCATGAAACCAACTCAAAGGATCAAGTCTACTAATAGCTTTGACTGACATTGGAGTCCTCTTGTAATTTGGTCTCCAGTGGTCCTTCTGCCTTCATTTCCAACCATCTCTCTGCTCTGCTCTCTCATTTCACCTAGTTCTCTTCGATGTGGCTCACTGTTTCACACTTCTAAGCTCTGGCATGCACGGATTCGTCTACTTAAAATTTCTATTTTAAAATCTTCTGTACCTGATGAAATCTTTTCATTTAAATCCCATTTCCCATCTTACCTTCTCTGTGGAGACTTCCTAATCTCCTTCTGGCCTGATGGGTTAATGATTTTGTTCTCTGGGTGCTCCCAGAGCTGCAGGAAATTACCTCCATCATAGTGTTCATGTACAGAACCTGACACCAATCAGACCCTGGGCTGAGTTCCCTCCACAGTCTCCAGTGTCAAAAAGTTCCTATGTTCATAATCTGTGGTCCCAGAATGTGACTGTATTTGGAGATAGGACCTGTAAGGGGAAATTAACATAAATGAGATCATTACAGTGGTCCTTAGTCCAGCCTGACTGGGGTCCTTAAGAGAAGAGCAAGTTTGGACACAGATTGGTGTCCTTATGAGAAGAGGAGTTTAGATACAAACATTGTAGAGGCAAGATGATGTGAAGAGACAGAGAAGATGCCATCTACAAACCAAGGAGAGAGGCCTGGAACAGATTCTTCCTGTATAGTCCCCAGAAGGAACCAACACTGCTGACACCTAGTCTTGAACTTTTGGCCTCTAGTACTCTGAGAAAATAATGTCTGTTGTGTAAGCCACTCAGTCTGTGGTACTTTGTTAAGGCAGCCCTCCCTTGCCAGCCAAGACGGACCCTCCCCACACATGGTTCCCGTGAGTCTCCATCTTGAGGCAGGGAGCCCCTGGAGGCCCTTGAAGGCAGGGTCTGTGTTTTATTCTTATTATTTTTTTAATGTTTCGAAATCCGGAATTCATTGTTTCTCAAAGCACGTCTCAGACCTCTTGTACCAGAATCAGTGTTTTCTAAACTGTAGTTTTGGTCACAAAATTAGCATAGTGAGTCACAACTAGCATTAAAAAAACATGAATCAGATTAAAAAACAAGAGCCCAGAATAGGCACATCTGCGTGGCTTGGAGGTTGTAAGGGAAATTATTGGGTAGTTATTGTTTTATAAAACTTCTGTTTTAGTTGTGTACACTGGGTCACAATATAATCTTTTAAAAAATATTGTGGAGAAAGTTGAAAAACACTGAGCCGAAGGTACTTGTTAAAAACACAGATTTTTTTTTTTCTTACTCCACTAAAACTTTACGCCCGTTGATTAACAACTCCCCATGTTCCCCTCTCCCAACCCCTGGCAACCACTATTTACTCTGATTCTATGAATTTGACTATTTCAGGTACCTTGCATAAGGGGAATCATGCAGTATTTGTCCTTCTGTGACTGGATTATTTCACTTAGCATACTGTTTTCAAGGTTCATCCATATTGTTGAATATTTTTTTTCTTTTTGAGATTGAGTCTTGCTCTGTCACCCAGGCTGGAGTGCAGTGGCATGATCTTGGCTCACTGCAACCTCCACCTCCTGGGTTCAAGTGATTCCCTCGCCTCAGCTTTGAGTAGCTGGGATTACAGGCATGTGCCACCACGCCCGGATAATTTTTGTGTTTTTTAGTAGAGAGGGAGTTTCGCCATGTTTCCCAGGCTCGTCATGAACTCCTGGGTTCAAGCGATCCACCCGCCTCAGCCTCCCAAAGTGTTGAGATTACAGGCATGAGCCACCATGTCTGGTATATAGCACGTTTTCTCTATCTACCTATAGTCAACAAAAATGTACTGTACATTTAAAACTTTAAGAGGGTAGATGTCATGTTAAGTATCCCACAATGCTTTTAAAAATCAAGCTATTTGGACGTTACCCCAGACCTACTGAATTTGAATCACAAGTAGGTGTGGCCTTGGAATCGACATTGTGTCTAGAAAATTCTTATGCACATTAAAATTGGAAAATTATTCCTAGTACCTAAGGCCAGTGTGAGGCACAGAATTATCACAAAATCCATATTTATTGAGCCAGCCTAGCATCATTTTGGTGCCAGTTATTTGTATTTTCATACTATCCAAAGAACTGGTGGAATAATAGCTAAGAAGAATATCAATGCAAAACCAATATAAAGATTACTGGATCAATTTCTGTTATCTACCTCAAAATAATTGAAAGGAATTTAAATTACTTGCTAAAGGACCTAAAAGCTTTTGTGTGTCATTTGCTCATTTATCTTTGAACCCACCCTAGGAAATGGGCATCACTGTTGCCATTTTTTTGGATGATGAATCTGAAATTTAGAGAGAAGTGACATGCCAAGGTCACACTACTAGGAAATGACAGAGCTGGGCTGTAAATCTAAACCTCATTCCATGCTGCCTGACATTGGTCCTTGGTTCTCCTGAGACCCTTTCTGGCCGTGGCTATTGATGAGGCTCTTAAAAGAAGTCAATGCTGTTCCTGGCTGCTCCTGGGAGATTGGACTTCCCATTCTGACTCAGAGAAAAAGCATCTTCCTGTGGTGTGGGGCCAGGTAGAGCCCCACAGGGACTACCAGGGGCAAACCAGTCCATGTATTTGGCCTGGGCTATGAGAGACTTTTACCTATCAAGGACCCCCAAAACACAGGTTTTGCAGTGACTAACAGTACCCACTGTCACAAAGCCAACTCCTTTTCTGCCACAATGAGTCAAGAATGAATGGTTTGAGGCTTGATTTAGAGACAAGACATTTAACTCAGAGAACTCAAAGAGACCACAAACCAGGGAGGTTCCAGGCCCCGCTGATATGGTTTGCTTCTGTGTCCCCACCCAAATCTCATCTTGTAGCTCCCATAATTCCCACGTGTTGTGGGAGGCACCTGGTGGGAGATGATTGAATCATGGGTGTGGGTCTTTCCTGTGCTGTTCTCATGATAGTGAATGGGTCTCATGAGATCCGATGGTTTTAAAAATGGGAGTTCCCCTGCACAAGCTCTCTCTTTGCCTGCTGCCATCCGTGTAAGATGTGACTTGCTCCTCCTTGCCTTCTGCCATGATTGTGAAGCCTCCCCAGCCATGTGGAACTGTAAGTCCAATAAACCTCTTTGTTTTGTAAATTGCCCAGTCTTGGATATGTCTTTGTCAGCAGCATGAAAATGGACTAATATACCCACCCACTTCTCCCAAACCAGTTTCCCATGAGTAGCAGCATCTGAGCTGGGTCTCCACTTTGAGGATTTGCCTCATTGCCTCTGGTTTCTGTGACCATTGCAGCACCCATGAGCCAGGTGTTCTGCATTTGTTATCACCTTTAATTCTAACACCACTGCTATTTCCCAAGGGGTCAATAACCTGCCTAGCGGCCACAGCTAAGAAATACAAGGGATGGGATTTGAACCCAAGACTGTGTGCTGTGAGTCTGTACTCTTTCTTCTGCATAGACTTGCTTTTCCTGGTAGAACTTAGCTTGTCCCTGTGCCTATGCTCAGCCAGCTTGTCCCAAGACTAAATTGGGCCATGGGGCCTGGGGGATGGGCTTAGACAGTCCAGGGAACTATGAAGGGTCCTGAGGTCATTTCATTAAAGGCACATTTTGGCACATGAATACCATGAGTCCTGCTCATTCCTTCCTTGGTCCATCTGCCCAGGCTCCAGGCAATGGAGACATCCCCTTCTATTTTCCTCAGTGACTTCCTGAGGTCTGCGGATCAAAAAGCACCTGGAGGAGACAAGTGATTCTGTACCCAGAATCAGAGAAATCTGATTGCTATGTTGTCTCTGCCACTCACTATGAGATCTTAGGAAATTCCTCTGTTCCTTCTGTGCCTCAGTTTCCTCATCTGTACAATGAGGACAATTCTGTCTTCCTCACAGTGCTATTGTCGGACAATAGGGTTGGAAATCTCTTGTACACATTAAGCATTTAAGACATGATTTAAACACGGATTTAGTCAGATAAAGTGGTTAGGAGATCTTCTCAGTGAGTACAGGGTCAGACAAAATGACAGAAATGTAGCCAAGTCCAAGTCAAACGTCACCATCAGCACATCACCATCACTCATGTTCCCCCACTGCGACCCCACCACTGCTGCTCCATTACCACCATAACCAACAATGGCCCAGCACAGTCAGTGTCAACAGTAACAACACCACTATTCCCATCACTACCCCACCCTCTGCTACCACTACTGTAGGCACACACATCCGAGTTGTTTGTTCTGTCACCTTCACTATCGCCTCTGCCTCCATCATATCACCATTGCTATATTACCGCCACCACCATCACCAACACCACCATATCACTTATCCATGAAAACAATATACTACAAGGTTCATTCCAGCCCCAGTACAATGCCTGACCCGAAGTAGGTTCTCAGGAAATTTTTGCAAAATGAATGAAAGGATAAATGAATGCCACACATTATATAATCAGAACTGCCAGGAAGCAAGAGTTTCCACCCCTTATAAACCTTCTGTAGATGTTTCAGTGGCCAATTTTTTTCTACGTCTTAGATCCTTCACCTCTTTTTTTTTTTTTTTTTTTTTAAATTTTAAAGCTTCTGGGATACAAGTGGTTTTTGTTTATATGGATGAATTGTACAGTGGTGAATTCTGAGATTTTAGTGCACCCACCACCCAAGTAGTATACATTGTACCCAATATGTGGTTTTTTTATCCCTTACCCTCCTCTTCCTCTCCCCGCTTCTGAGTCTCCAATGTCCATTTTACCCCTCTGTATGCCTTTGCATACCCATAGCTTAGCTCCCACGTATAAGTGAGAACATATGTTGTTTGGTCTTCCATTTCTGAGTTACTTCACTTAGAATAATGGCCTATAGCTCCGTCTAAGTTGCTGCAAAAGACATTATTTTGCTCTTTTCTATGGCTGAGTTATATTCCATAGTGTATATATACCACATTTTCTTTATCCACTCATAGGTTGATGGGCACTTAGGTTGGTTTCATATCTCTGCAATTGTGAATTGTGCTGCAGTAAACATATGTGTGCAGGTGTCCTTTTGATATAAACACTTCTTTTCTTTTGGGTAGATACCCAGTAGTGAGACTGCTAGATTGAATGGGAGATCTGCTTTTAGTTCTTTGAAAAATCTTCATACTGTTTTTCATAGATGTTGTACTAATTTATGTTCCTACCAGCAGTGTATATGCATTCCTTTTTCACCACATCCAGGCCAACATCTATTGTTGTTCAACTTTTTAATAATGGAAATCCTTGGCCTCTTAAAGGCTCAGTCCTGCTGGACCAACTCAGGGCCTCACTGATGGGTAAAAATGATGAGGACAAAAGGTAGAACAATATAACTGGAGACATCAGCATTTGACCCTGATTGTTTATTTCTCAGAAAATCACAGTATTAAACCAAACTAAAGAAAAGTCATTCCTTGGGCTGGGTGTGGTGGCTCACGCCCACTTTGGGAGGCCAAGGTGCAACGATCACTTGAGCCCAGGAGTTTCAGACCAGCCTGGGCAAAATAGTGAGGCCTTGTCTTTACAAAAAATAATAAATTAGCCAGGCATGGTGGTGCACATTTGTAGTCCCAGCTACTCTGAACGCCGAGGCCGGAGGATCCCTTGAACTCAGGAATTTGAGGCTGCAGTGATCTATGATCATCATTGCACTCCAGCCTGGTGACAGAGCAATACCCTGTCTCAAAAGCAAACAAACAAACAAAAACCCTTTTCTAAGATTCCAACAGTTGTCTATGTATTTATGTGTAAACCTCAGGTATTTTCTAGCTGCAACTTGGTTTCTACCTTCTATTCCTTCCTATCTCCTGGGGGAATTGTTGAGATTGTTTTTTTTCCTAGCAACAGCTCCCTCTGGTTGGATTCAAAATTAATATCACCTTTGAAAATTACATTTGAAAACATGCCAGGCCATTCTCTATCCCAGGAGGCAGGCAAACAATGAGATGACCAAGCATTCCATTCAGTTCCTGTATCATAAATCATAACTCACTCGGGCCAGTGGGTAGAAGGTGACTCTGTAGCTGATTTAAAGAACAGTTTTCAAATACAGGCTGCTAGCTCATTGCTGAGGCAAAGACAGGACTCAAAGCCCAGGTGCCTTTTCCATCCTTTTCCTGGCAATAGCTCCTGCCTTGACACCTAAGCCTGGCTGCCTCTGTGGGGCTGGACAAAAACTTATCCATGCCTTTTCAAGCACGAGTCATTGATCCTTTTATGTGTGTCCTCTGGATCTCTTTTGGGAACATGGTAATGACTGAATCTGAGATCATGGCTGTCCTTGAGGTGTTCACTCAAGGCATCTGGTCCCCAAGATGTTCCCAAGGTACCTTTCCTCTTGCAGGCTTTTTTGATCACCTTGTGAATTCACCGAGCATTCCATAGACTGTTTGCTCATTCCCCTCCATTGTGTCTTTGGCCCTTTCCCTCTCTCTCATTATCTCCTGGGCTGTGGTGTCCTGCCCGATGGCGTTGAGGTCATTGCATTAGGCAGTGTCCCAGAAACAATGATCATAGCAGTATTTTTAGAGGAGTCCGTGTGAGGTCATGGAAATAGCATGCAGTGTTCAGTGATCCAGGCATGGGACTCAAACTCTGCCTTGTCCCTTTACCAGCTGGGAGAGTGACCTAAACCTATAGTGCCTCAGTTTCCCCATGAGCCCGTGAGCATTATTATACTACTCACAGAGTTATGGTGATTTAATGATGCAACATAAGCAGTTGCTTAGAGCAATTCATGGCACTTGCTAGATCACTCAAAAATAGCCCATTTACTTCCCACTTTCCTTGAGCTTTTATTACAACATCTTGTTTGGAGATAATTAAAATGCAGCTGTGATTGCTTTCATGAGGAGCCAAGGGGCAATATTTCTCAAGTAATTATCATTGAAGGAGAGTCAATGTGGGAAGGATGATGTCAGATACATACCAGGTGACACAGCCTCTGGGGTCCTTCATTCCTCCTGTGTCTATGGTGCTGGGTTGAGGTGTTGCAGATGTGATCTTCATTTGGTGCTACATGGTTTCAGCCTCTGTGTGGCTCCCTCCACAGGTGGGACCATCTGACCTCCTGTTGGTATCCCTCAGACATCCCCAGTGTACTGTCAGAACTGGAGAGGAAGATGATTAGGAAGCTGCCACTGCACAGTACTTGGTGGGGGAGACTATACTGGCTATGGAGTCACTCAGGCCTGGGGTGAAGCCTCATGATGTCCTGTACTAGTTATCTGAGCTTGACAAGTCACCCATCCCTCCGAGCCTCAATTTTCTCAGCTATGAACTGAGGTTGGCAACATCTACTTTTCTCCATGATAATTCAAGTGACAAGGAAGGGAAAATCCAATTCCAAATGGCCTCATGATAAAAGAAACATTGCATTAGATAACTAAAAAGTCTAGAGGTAAGACTTCAAATATAGTTTGATCAGAGGTCTGGCTCCACTCCTCTGCATAATTTTATTCCCATCCTGTCTTCTCTGTTGGCTTCATCTTTAGCCTGGCTTCCTTTATGTATCAAGATACCTACATGTAGCAGCTTTCTCAGCTTGGATTGGACCATCTTAGCCGACAGGATCAGTGCTGGCATTCAGATCATTTTCAGCCCTGCAAGCAGCTGGGGTCAGTGCTACTCAAATCATGGGCTATGCAGTGAGAGAGAGATGAGAGATGAAATAATGTTGGGAAGACAACTACCACACTACTCACAGTGGGATTTTGAAGACTGAGGAACCACCATGATAACACTCACAGTTGATGGTTTTTGAGAACTGAGTCTGTGTCAGGCAGATAGTATCTTGCTTAATCTTCCCCAAGACCCAGGATCATGAATGTAACTATTAATAGTATTCTCAGTACATACCAATCTCTCCTCTATCATGCACCTCAGATTCCCCATCTGTGTTATCCATCCACTAGAATTATTAATCTGTATGGTCAACCCCTCCCCCAAAATGTTCATATTTTAACCCTATCAGCTGTGAATGTTACTTATATAGATAGCAAAGAGCCTTTGCAGATATAATTGGGTTAAAGATCTTGAAATGGGCCGGGTGCGGTGGCTCACGCCTGTAATCCCAGCACGTTGGGAGGCCAAGGCAGGCGGATTACGAGGTCAGGAGATCGAGACCATCCTGGCTAACACAGTGAAACCCCGTCTCTACTAAAGAATACAAAAAATTAGCCGGGCATAGTGGTGAGCACCTATAGTCCCAGCTACTTGGGAGGCTGAGGCAGGAGAATGGTGTGAACCTGGGAGGCGGAGTTTGCAGTGAGCGGAGATTGTGCCACTGCACTCCAGCCTGGGTGACAGAGTGAGACTCCATCTCAAAAAAAAAAAAAAAAAAAAAAAAAAAAAAAAAAAAAAAAAATCTTGAAATGGGCAGATCATCTTTGATTACCTGAATGGACCCTAAATAGAATGATGGTCTCCTTAAGAGAGGGGTGCAGTGGGAGATTAGCAGAAGAGGAGAAGGTGATGTAATGATGGAAGCAGAGTTTGGAGTGGTGCATTTTGAAGGCAGAGGAAGGAGCCACAAGTCAAGATACACAGGCGGCCACTAGAAGCTGGGAAAAGGCAAGGAAACCAATTCCTTCCCATCAGAGCTTACAGAAGAAACCAGCCCTGGCAATACTTTACCTTTAGCCCAGTGAGACTGGTTTCAGACTTCTGACTTCTAGAACTGTGAGAGAATGAATTGGTATTGTTTTCAGCCACTGTGTTTATGATAATTCATCACAGCAGCAATAGGATACAATATATAATAATAATAGCATCAAGCCAGACACTTATCTAAGTGCTTTTGTATTCCTACTTAATTCTCACAATAATGGTTGGTGGTCAGCAATGTCCTTACTTTCATTTTATAGATGGGCAAACTGAATCAAGAGGACATTATACAATTTGTCAAACACATACCATTCAGATGTGCTGGAGTCAGGGCTTATATCAGACAATCAGGTATCTGATACCTGATTGGCACTGCCATCCATTGCTCTGTTGGTTTATCATGCATAATTTCTCCCTTATCTATTCCTTCCCTCTTGCCAACTGTTTGCCCACCCTGTGTTTCTTCGGTAGACCAGATTTTCACTGTTCTTAGCACACCTCCTTATGCCAGACTCTGTCATGCCCAATAAGCAGAACAAATGTCCTGACTTCTGTCTTCTCTCATCCCAATAACCAACATTTCTTCCACCTAGTGCCAAATGTCTACATGTAAAACAGGTGATCCCTTTGGTTAGTTTTATTGGCCTGGGGCTCTGTTGAAAGGGCAGTGTAATCAGGCAAATGTGATGCAGTGCCAGCAACCTGGCACCCACCGTGTTTCCCAACTACTCCAGAAGGCAAGTTTTCTTGTTATCCCCATTTCACAGATGTGGCAATGGAGACTAGAGACACCAGGGAAGTCATTCAACTGGTCATTGGGTGAGGGTTGCATCCAAACCTAGGCAATGTGCCATCAGACCCTGTGACCTTGTCCATCACCTGCAGCTCTAACTGCACAGGGCTTAGGCGAGTTTAGTCTAAAGGTAAACTCCATAAGAGTGCAAAGAAGATCATCTGGACACAAGCCTCACAGCACGTGTGTAGGCGCTCTCTGCTCTCTGAGCATCAGTGTCTCATCCACAAAGTGGAAGAAAATGATGATAACTGCCTTATCGAGTTATTATAACAATGATAAAGCATATAGAGTTCATGTCTTACTCTATGGCAGAAAATAAGTGCTCAAAATTAGTTACTGTTTTATACACGTTTGCTTAAACATCGTATATACATAAGTGTGAGAAGCCAATGTGGCTGCTGGTAGGGATGGACAAATTCTCACCATTATTGTGAGAATTAAGTAAGAATACAAATTAAGTAAGAATTAAGTAAGAATACAAATTAAGTAAGAATTAAGTAAGAATACAAATTAAGTAAGAACTAAGTGAGAACTAAGTGAGAATTAAGAATATAAAAACACTTAGATAAGTGTCTGGCTTGATCGCTATTATTATTATATATTGTATCCTATTGCTGCTGTGATGAGCTATCATAAACACAGTGGCTGAGAACAATACCAGTTCATTCTCTCACAGTTCTATCTGTAAGATAGAACTATGAGGAAGGAATGTCAACCACGAGCCAAGTCTGGAGCCATGAGACAGACCCTCTAATAGCAGGTGTTGCTGTGGAGTACAGATGCCTCTTACTCAGACAGCTCCCTGCTCCTGAACAAGGAGCAGCAGAGATGAATTTATGTAATTATATGTTGCAAGTTGTGCCTGGCGCCCAGCTTGTGAGTAAGGCAGATCCAGGAGAGGCAGCTGAGAACAGCTTTCCTGGAGTCAGGCATAGGGTGGGGAAGGTCTGATGGAGAAGATAGACGGCCATTTTGCCTTAAAGACACCATAGTGGCATTGACTTGTGGTATTGAGTGGCTTGGAGAAGTTGGTCCATGGGGGTTGGGATTGGGGAGTGAAGTTAGGGTGGATGCTGGGTCTGTGAAGTGGGGAATCCACAGACTAGGAAGTTGGGAGGTAGAACAAGTCAAAAGTAAGGAGGTAGTGAGCCCCACTGTACTCGGATGCTTGAAGTATGGGAGAATTGCTGTTCACATGTTGTCTGAGAAAACTATGGATTATCTCTTGCAGACAGAACTAGCAGATGCTGGGCATGGAACTGCTTCGTGAGTTTGAATTTTGAGTTTCATCCAAGGCTTTGACACTGTACCGCCCAAAGCAGAAACTTTTATGAATTCATAATGTGTTGGATTAATGCCAAATTTTTTTCCCACCAAAGACACCTGTAAATGTTTTCCCACAGTGAACTGCATGTTTCAAATAATCTTTTAATACAGCACATTTATTAAATTATACTTTTTTTGTTTTTATGTGAAATAACTAGCTTGCTAAGTGGAGATATAACTTCAGAAAAAAGAGAAAACGACTCTTTTAATCAGAAAATGTAGGATATGCTTGCCAGCCTTTTCGAAATATTACAAGTAGCTCAAGTGTAGCTTCTAACTCTCTTCATGGTCACCAACTAGGAAACACTAAGAGTAAAGGAAGAAACGCAGACACAGAGTTTAAATAAATTTCCTATCTTTATGTGTTGACACAAATGGACATAAACACTATATATTAAGCCTGTGTGTTATGTATAAAGTAATGAGGAAAAATGTCTGTGAAGGTTAAATTTTTTTTTTTTTTTTTTGAGATGGAATCTCACTCTATTGCCCAGGCTGGAGTGCAGTGGCCCCATCTTGGCTCACTGCAACCTCCGACTCCCAGGTTCAAGCGATTCTCCTGCCTCAGCCTGCTGAGTAGCTGTGATTATAGGCATGCGCTACCACACCCAACTAATTTTTTTTTTTTTTTTGAGAGGGAGTCTCGCTCTGTCACCCAGGCTGGAGTGCAGTGGCCAGATCTCAGCTCACTGCAAGCTTTGCCACCTGGGTTTATGCCATTCTCCTGCCTCAGCCTCCCGAGTAGCTGGGACTACAGGCACCCGCCACCTCGCCCGGCTAGTTTTTTTTTGTATTTTTTAGTAGAGACGGGGTTTCACCATGTTAGCCAGGATGGTCTCGATCTCCTGACCTCATGATCTGCCCGTCTCGGCCTCCCAAAGTGCTGGGATTACAGGCTTGAGCCACCGCGCCCGGCCCCAACTAATTTTTGTATTTTTAGTAGAGATGGGATTTCACCATGTTGGTCAGACTGATCTTGAACTCTTGACCTCGTGATCCGCCCACCTTGGCCTCCAAAAGTGCTGGGATTATAGGCGTGAGTCATTGTTCCCGGCCTGTGAAGGTTAATTTTACGTGTCAACTTGGCTAGGCTATAGTGCCAGTTATTTAGTCAAATATTAATCTAGGTGTTGGGAAGGTTTTTTTTTTTGAAATGGAGTTTCGCTCTTGTCTCCCAGGCTGGAGTGCAACGGCATGATCTTGGCTCACTGCAACCTCCACCTCCTGAGTTCAAATGATTCTCCTGCCTCAGCCTCCTGAGCAGCTGGGATTACAGGCACCTGCCACCACACCCAGATAATTTTTGTATTTTTAGTAGAGATGGAGATTTCACCATGTTGGCCAGGCTGATCTCGAACTCCTGACCTCAGGTGATCCACCCAC